GCCAGTTCCCTCAGCACTCTTGGGTGGATCCCATCCGGCCCCATAGACTTGTAAGTGTCCAGGTGGCACAGCAGGTTGTTAACTGCTTCCTCTTGGACTATGGGAGGTTTGTTCCGCTCTCCTTCCCTGTCTTCCAGCACTGGGGGCTGACTACCCTGGGAATATCCAGTCTGACTAGTAAAGACTGAGGCAAAGAAGGCATTAAGTACCTCAGCCTTTTCCTCATCCTTGTTGGCAATATTCCCCCTCACATTCAATAAAGGATGGAGGCTCTCCTTGGTCTGCTTTTTATTGTTGATATACTTGTAAAAACATTTTTTGTTGTCCCTTACAACAGTGGTCAGTCTGAGTTCTAGCTGGGCTTTTGCCTTTCTAATTTCCTCTCTGCATGACCTAACGAGACCCCTGTACTCCTCTTGAGTCACCTGCTCTTTCTTCCATAGGTGGTAGACCCTCCTTTTTTTCTTGAGTCCCAGCAAGAGCTCCCTGTTCAGCCAGGCCAGTCATCTTCCCCGACGGTTCATCTTGCAGCACGTCAGGAGTTAGAGATGTACACGCAGCTACAGGGCTATGATCTCACTGGCATCACAGAGAAGTGGTAGGATGGCTCCTATGACCAGAGTGTTGGAATGGAAGGATACAGGCTTCCTTAGGAAGGACAGTCAGGGGAAGCGAGGAGGGGGTGTTGCCCTCTGTGTTAATGACCAGCTGGAGTGCATACAGCTCCGCTCGGGGGTAGATGAGGAGCCGACCAAGAGCTTACGGGTCAGGATTAAAGGCAGGGCAGGGATAGGTGACATTATAGTGGGGGGTCTGTTACAGGCCACCTGACCAGGTAGATCGAGCAGATGAGGCCCTCTATACACAGATAGGAGCAGCCGCAGGTTCACATGCCCTGACGATATTTGTTGGTGGGACAACACAGCAGGGCATAAACAATCCAGGAGATTCCTGGACTACAGTGATAACAAATTCCTTCTCCAAGTGACAGATGAGCCCACAAGGAGAGGTGCTACGCTGGACCTTGTTCTCACCAACAAGGAGGGACTAGTGGGGAATGTGAAGCTCAAGAGCAGCCTTGGCTGCAGTAACCATGAAATGCTGGAGTTCAAAATCCTGAGGACAGTGAAAAGGGCGCACAGCAAGCTCACTACTCTGGACTTCAGGAGAGTGGACTTCAGCCTCTTCAGGAACCTACCTGGTACAGTACCATGAGACAAAGCCCTGGAGGGAAGAACGGCTCAAGTTGGTTAATATTCAAGGATCACCTCCTCCAAGCTCAGGAGTGATGCATCCCAACAAAGAGGAAGTCGGGCAAAAATGCCAGGAGGTCTGCAGGGATGAACAAGAAGCTCCTGAACAAACTCAAGCACAAAAACGAAGCCTGCAGAGGGTGGAAGCAAGGATAGGTAGCCTGCAAGGAATACAGAAAAACTGTCTGAGCAGACAGGGATCAGGTTAGAAAAGCTAGAGCCCTGATAGAATTAAATCTGGCCAGAGATGTCAAGGGCAACAACAAAAGCTTCTATATATATGCCAGTGATAAAAGGAACACTAGGGAAAATGTGGGCCCTCTCTGGAAGGAAATGTGAGAACCGGTTACCTGGGATAAGGAGAAGACTGAGGTACTCAACAACATTTTTGCCTCAGTCTTCACCGGCAAGTGCTCCAGCCACACGCCCCCAGGTTGCAGAAAGCAAAGGCAGGGACTGAGAGAATGGAGAATCACCCACTGTAGGAGAAGATCAGGTTCAAGACCATCTAAGGAATCTGAAGATGCACAAGTCCATGGGATGTGATGAGGAGCATGCAAGAGACCTAAGGGAACTGGCAGATGAAACTGCTAAGCCACTATTCACCATATCTGAGAAGTTATGGCAGTCTGGTGAAGTTCCCACTGATTGGAAAAGGAGAAATATAACCCCTATCTTTAAAATGGGAATAAAGGAAAACCTGGGTAACTACAGGCCAACCAGTCTCACCTCTGCACCCAGCAAGACCATGGAGTAGATCCTCCTGGAAACTATGCTAAGGCACATGGAAAATAGGGAGGTGACTGGTGGCAGCCAACATGGCTTCACTAACAGCAAATCATGCCTGATAAACTTGTCGGCCTTCTACAACAGGGTTACTGCATTGGTGGATAAGGGAAGAGCAACTGATGTCTACTTGGACTTGAGAAAAGCATTCGACACTGTCCCGTATGACATCCTTGTCTCCAAATAGGAGAGACATGGATTTGATGGATGGACCACTCAGTGGGTAAGGAATTGGCTGGACTTTTGCACTCAAAGAGTTGTGGTCAATGGCTCGATGTCCAAGTGGAGACCAGTGACAAGTGGCGTTCCCCAGGGCATGGTACTGGGACTAGCACTGTTTAACATCTTTGTTGGCAACACGCACAGTGGGATTGAGTGCACCTGCAAGTCAGCTGATGACACCAAGCTGTGTGCTGCAGTTGACACGCTGGAGGGAAGGGAAGCCATCCAGAGGGATCTGAACAGGCTTGAGATGTGGGCCTCTGTGAACCTCATGGGGTTCAACAAGGCCAAGTGCAAGGTCCTACACATGGGTCGGGGCAACCTCAAGCACAAATACAGGCTGAGCAGGGAATGGATAGAGAGCAGCCCTGAGGCGAAGGACTTGGGGCTTCTGGCTGATAAGAAACTCAGTTTGACCCGGTAGAGTGTTCTTGCAGCCCAGAAGGCCAACTCTGTCCTGGGCTGCATTCAAAGCAGTGTGGCCAGCAGGTCGAGGGAGAGGATTCTGCCCCTCTGCTCCGCTCTGGTGAGAGTCCACCTGGAGTCCTGCGTCCAGCTCTGGAGCCCTCAGCACAGAAGAGACATGGACCTGTTGGAGCGGGTCCAGAGGAGGGGCACAAAAATGATCAGGGGGCTGGAGCACCTCTCCTGTGAGGACAGGCTGAGAGAGTTGGGGCTGCTCAGCCTGGAGAAGAGAAGGCTGCGGGGAGACCTTATTGCAGCCTTTCAGTACCTGAAGGGGCCTGGAAGTAAGCTGCAGAGGGACTTTTTACAAGGGCATGTAGAGATAGGACAAGGGTTAATGGCTTTAAGCTGAAAGAGGGCAGATTTAGATGAGATATAAGAAAGACATTCTTGCCTGTGAGGGTGGTGAGGCACTGGCACAGGTTGCCCAGAGAAGCTGTGGATGCCCACTCCCTGGAAGTGTTCAAGGCCAGGCTGGATGGGGCTTTGAGCAACCTGGTCTAGTGGAAGGTGTCCCTAACTACGGCAGCGGGGCTGGAACTAGATGATCTATAAGGTCCCTTCCAACCTGAACCATTCTATGATTCTATGAAAGCAATTAGCCTTCCTTCCTCAGTATGGCAGAGAAGCAGAAATCCTTCCCATGCCTCAAAATAATATTTCATAGTCTTAGGCACAGACAGAGATTAAGATCAGGCACCAGATTGCTCCAGGCGGTTATGCAGTGCTGTGAAGTTAAGGAAGCAGAACTACATAAAAACCAAGTGGCCAATCTTTCTTATATTTGAAGCTGCATACCCAAATCCTCATGTGACCAAGTTACAAAAAAATTCCTGAGACATGGGACATCTGGAAAAAGGGAAGAAACTGAGCTCAAGAAGTGGTTCATAGATGGAGGGTAGCAATGGCTGGATAGACCTGAGGTGAGCATACAGCTGAGTGACTTGCAATGCCAGCTTGGGAGCCTTCCCTGCCCCTGTATCTCTCCTGGTTGTCAATACAGTCTACACACAGCAGCTCTCCACTGACTCAGGCATTGTAGTGACTGGCTTCAACATCCCAGGCTGACGGCTAAAGCTACTTGGGATGACTCACAAGCAGCACAGGTATCACAGGTACTTCAAAAACATCAGTTACTATTCTAGTAATGCTGGACTTGAAAAATGCCTTATGCTTGTTGACCTGAAAACACTAACCATAATTTTCTGACAAGAGTCAATATTATTCACGTTAAAGAGAAAGAATCCAGACAAATAATAAACATAGGAGCAATACAGCAATTTTTTTTTTTTTTTACTGCCTTCCTCTTGTTCCACCAAACTGAGTAATGAAGTATTCTTCATTAGTTTACTGGGGCAAAGCTACTTTCCATAGGGATATTACTTGTTGTTCTGACCCTTCTGATTCTTACGTGACTATGCACCACACCGTCTAAGTCAGAACTCACATGGGTTTGGTTTTTTTTTTTTTCTTTTTGTTTTTTTTAAGAAAGCCTACCTCTGTAGTGGTCCCAACGTCAGCAGATGGGCTGTAGGTACTGGTGTCTGGTGGAGCGGTACCAACACTGCTTTTAACTGGAGAGCTAGGAGGAGCAGGTCCTGTCATGGTTTCGGTATAGACAGAAGATTGATATAGAATTCCTTTCCTCTGAATTTTATTCCAAACTTTACTTGCGATCTCAGCCAGTTCATACAGAAGCTGCACCTAAAAAAACCCCACACATTTAAGATAAAGCTTTCCTTGATAAGGTGAATGAAAATCATCAAAGTCCTCCACTGAGACTTAGAATGTAGCAGAACTGTTCTGATAAGTAACTACGTTGCGATTAAAGTAATTAACATCAGTTACAGTATCGTGATTTTGATAAAAATAATCTATGTTTTGTCTAAACATATGGTAGGTAGCTCATAAAAACATAACCAATAACATGGTCTCGTAAAACTTTTACTAACATCAATTTCAACAACTAAACAAAGGTAATTTGTGGTATATTTCATATGTACAGATATTGCCTCTAGAAAAAGGCAAACATACAAACCTTATGAAAAATCAACAATGGAAAAATTATTCATTTAAATGGTATTAAAATAACGATCCCCTGCAACATACAGAACTATTGTATGTTTTAGGAAGAATATCCACTATCAAACTCAATAGTCTCCTGGCATATGTCATCCCAATATTCAGAAACGCGCTGTTTAACTTGTACATTGTTTGACTCGGTTCTAAGATATTTACACAAGTTTTTGTAAATAAGCATTAATCACCGAATTGTATGACAACATACTGCAATGTACTGTATAAAACAAGCTCAAAGAAAACTACAAACAATATATAAGCAGATCCACAGCTGGATACCATAGCCAACTTGCCATTATAAAAAATGGCAATTCTCGTATTTATAAGAACCTTAAGCCTCAGGACACATCTACTCTATGAAGCTGACTTCTTATGTGGGCAGAACAGATGCAGAAAAATGCTGTTGTCAATCTACATTTGATATAAAACAGTACTTGATTTTGTGCGTGAGAGTGTGTGATGAAGTCTCAAAGTACATGCTACAGTCCTTTCTTAAGAGGTGAAGTGCTGGAATTTTATAAAAACCTTCTTAATTCATCTTGGATTTTCTTTTGAAGTTTCAAGGCTTACACTGAGCAGGTCGTATACTCTTTTGACATAATTTTTCCTTAAAGGAGATAAACTTCTCAGTACTTTTTTGGTCTTCATATACAGACCAATCTACAGACAAACAGTAACTCTGGCTGTGGCAAACAGTTCTTTTAGTTATGCTTTAAAATGTTTTGTGTCTGTAGCACTCTGATATGCACTGGTAGCCTTTAAATTACTAATTGCAAATTTCTAAGTTTTCCTGAGTCTCTTCCCTGTAACTCAGAAAGATCAACTAATAATGTCTATCTGACTGAGTAATATAACATCAACTAGTGTTGACACTTAACTGGCAAAAAAGTCTCTAGAAAATTAATAGGATACAGGCACTTATCCAAATCATACATGCTTGTAACCTCCACTCCCTCAAAATATTTTTTGGTCAAGAAGCCAAAGGATAATTTAAGCTATACTTGTCTTAATGAAGCAGGGCTTCCAGAAATTTAATTATGCTACTGTTCATAAAGGCACAAAAAAATGCAACAGAAGGGAATGATGCAACTTCTGTGTTTACATACATGCTCATACACAAGGTAAAGAGGTTTGTCATCAGCTAATCCAACACTGAAGAGTTTAAAATCTTACTGGGGTTGCAACAGTCATAATCATTAAAGCTAATAATTACATATGTTACGAGGGAGATTTTTTAAAAATTACTCAGGCTAGAATCTTTGCAGCCACTCTGAAACAGTGGCTATTTCAGACAGCAGTAGCCATCTCTCTGAACACTGCCAGCAATGAGACAGCCAAGTAGTATGACCCTAATACTCTATCCTGCTCTGAAACCAGAGACAAAACAAGTTCACCAAGAAAAAAAGGCACCTTTTGCTTACAGAGAGATGATTTCCATGGAGATATGTTAAAAAATAAAAAACATCAAAAAGCCTCGCAACAAAACTTCATTAAAACAAAAAAGAAGGCTATGTCTATATGTAAATAAAATTTTAAAGCTTCAGATAAAGAGCTGAAGTTAAGTCTTTTGAGTATTTTTAATACACGTAATTTTATTCCATTTGTTGTTACTTAAAGTGGAAGGTCTTGTTGGTTGCTTTTTTTCAAGTGAGTAGTAGTATTTTGAAAATCCAGTTCTGATTATATTAGAAGAGATAATGTAGCTGTAAGGTCTCTCCCCTTTACAAGTATTTTTGAGTATAACAGTTAATACATAATAATTTAGTACACTCTATTCAAGAGCAGAAAAATGGTATGACACAAATAGGAATAACTCTGCCAGTATTTGTTAAGAAAAGTTTCCCTCTCTCACTGCTTCCACTCCCTCCCCAGCAAAACCACACATAACTCAGTAAGATCCCACTGACTACTTGGCAAAATCTGTAAAGTTCAATATGTTACAGCATTTTATGCTTAAAAAATAACACATTACTACAAAATCAAAAACTACAACAAAAGGCAATATCCTGGCAATTTTGCACGCTGGAAGTATCCGTTGACTTTAAACAAATACAACCATCAGAACATGAGTTCTTATTAAATCATAATAGTCATATAGTAAAATACTTCACCTTTGCTAGCATCTAACAAATTCACTGAGTATCACCTACTTAAAGGCTGTCATCTATAGACAAAATACAGCCCGCCATTCTAAAGAATCAAATTTCATAGTTACTCTACTGTGAATTTATAACTATCAAATGTTGTTTATGTAATTGTATTTTCCATCTTCTCTTCTTGAACATCTGGTTAAAGAAGACTGATGTGGTTTTTTTCCCTTTTGCATCAGTAAAGAAGAAAGGACAAGGCAGATGTAAGAGAGAAAGTACAGCTCAAGAACTTTCATTAAACTCAAATAATTTGTCCGCATCCTTTTCATCATTATAATACTTCAGTAAACGAATAACATCACAGTGAACAAGGACATGCTTTAAGAAAACAATATTTTGTCTGATATTCCACTGTACAACTTCATTTTAGCATTTCCCTATACTCATAATATTATTTACAAGGTGCTTACAATTTGAATTTTCTAGTGCAAACATTTTCTTACAGTTTGCAAAAAAGATTATTTGATCACATTTTGTTGAAAAGTCGAAAATGCATTTTATTTACTCCAATTTTGTTTTTAAATTGCCACCCAAATTTACATAAGGCTGCCACTTATAACAATGCCATCCTGCTTATAAATTAATACTGTTAATGTATTACATACATTAACCATGAGATTAATTGGAGATTTTAAAAAAATCAGAATTAATCTGACAATTTGCTGGAATTCCATTGAATGTACTGATCAACTGCAGTCAACTATTTTACTACATGAACATCCCAAAATATTTACCAATTCTGCAATATCAAGATAAATTTTGTACAGTTCTATGAAAACTAATACAAAACCAGGCAGATTTCCATAGGCTGTGAAATCATCACATATGAATTCATTAAACTTTACAGAAATACCACAAAGTTGTTAAGTAAAGCTTTCAGAAGTACTTAAACATAAAACATAAAATTGTCAGCAAAATCATGATTTTGTCCTTTCCTATTTATATGTTTATAACACAGTGACAACCCTTCATGTGTGCAAACACATCCGTCATACAACTTCACATGTCTGAGTAGACCTTGTTGAGGCTGCTCAACTTTCAATTTTAATTTGCAATGTCCAGTGTGCAACCTCACTCTACCAACCCTCTTCCTAGTGAGTGTGAGTCCATCTAGTACAGAAGACAATGGCATACAGCAAATGAGTCAGAAATGACTTGAACAGAAGGCAGTGAATGGGGCAGGAGACCGCACATCAAGGATAAAATAAATACGTAGTTTAAAACACTGGTTTCATTCACCGAACATGGAATGAGGCACGGGAAAAACTGCATGTGACTGAGAAACATATTGTAATGAGTACACAAGGGATAACATTAATATTACACCAGCCACCTTAGCTTTACTATTCCCAGACTTAGATCATAGGTCCAGAAATCTTTGCAAACGTGATGTGCTGTCTATCAGATCAAATTTGTAATACTTTGTGTTATTTCCCTTTCTTTCTATTAAATGAAGCAATAAACAGTCCATTTGGTCCATGACGTCTTTTGAAAAATCCTACATACGGCTAAAACTGGAGCAGACAGCACATGAGCGCAGAGCCCTACTCAGACCTCAACAGATTCACAGTTCTCGGGAACAAGAGTGTTCTCTCCAGCACCACTGGAAATGCTGCAACTGTCAGGACAGTGGTACTCAAGTTACAGTAAAGATTACTCAAAATTTTGCATAGAAAACCTACTCTATTTAGTACTACAGCAAACTTGATCCAGGTCAGTAGAACACAGGGTGCACTTTCTGAAAATCTAGCAACATCTTTGCCTTTCAATAAACATAAATGAGGTGGTAACTTTTGTTTATGCATACTCATTTGAGTTTTCTTCCCTTACTAAAGGATACCACTGTTTGCCTAAAAAACATTTCATGTTTGAAGAAGGGCTCGTTCTATGAAAATATGGTAAAAAACTACATGAAACCACTTCAACATATGAATCCACAGTGACAGCAGAACAGCACTGTAGCATTTAATGGTACATCTGCAATTCATTTTACTCCATCAGCAAAAAGATGCATTTATACTGTAGCTATTACACTTTGAGAAGAGTTTACATTACAAAACTTGAGAGAGCTTCAAAGCAAATCTTAATCTAAGCACCTTGATCTTGATGGCCCAGTAAAAAAAAATTAAGATAGAAGAGACCTTCTTCAACAAAATGCAGAACAATTGTACTTAAATAGAATTATTTTGCATTTCCTTTCATAAATCAATTAAATGTACCAACCTGGGGGTTGGAGCATTTTATTTCAAGGGACTCAAGGTCGACATGTAGGCAGACAACAAATGAGTGTCTGGATTCTGGCCCCGAAGCAAGCAGTTTCTGTGAAGTAACAGCTAAAGTAGAAGTACAGCCCATTGGTTCCACTAAATTAAGTGTCATCTGCTGTCCAAGAAGAGTATATACACTGAAATGATGCAGACTGATAGTCCATGGAAAAGCATCACCTAATGATTAAAAAAAAGGGAAAACAGTTAAATAATTGCATAACAAAAACTAGGCAATTATTTTCTCAAAACTCAGTAAAAGCCTTATCCTAACCCCCCTCAAAAGTCAGTAAGTGCAATTAACAACCATTAAATAGATCCCAAACTATCACAAATATAATTCAACTATCAATTCCATTCTATCCCTCAAAATCTAAACAATAGAAATATATTTTTTACACCTTTTTAAAAATTGAAATCCATTGGGAATTTTGACCCCATAGTCTTTAAAGAACATTATTTTTGCTTTACATGATTTTCCTCAAACCGAGAAGTATCCTGAAACCACTGCCTACTTCTTTCAGCACATGGATGGCAGAGGCAGTTCGTTACATTATATACTTCTATGTGTTTACCAGTGTTAATGCTAAAAAAGAGCATTGTCTTTCTCCCAAAAATTTTTAGCTTGCCTATCAACAAGATAGTGGTGCCATGAAGTAAAGCCTATCCCAACAGCCTATCCCATTCTCACTTGCTCAGGCAAGTGAGATCTTGATCACAGTGCAGCTCTTCCCACGGGCTCCGCCTAACTTCCTAGGAACAGAATGGTGATGGATTTTGTAGAAACAAATTACTATAGACATATGCTAAGCACTTCATTTCTTATATTCAGGAGGGAGCCTACCCAGAGAAGTGCCTGGCAGCCTACTATGAATCATCATGCATGATCAGTGAGGGAACTGGCCGTGTCCAGCTGAACAACAAAATGGCTGCAGCTTCGGTACAGGCTGTTTTCTTTAGATTGTCAACAGATGGGAAAGAAAAGGAACAGTTTCCAAAGCAGGACCACAGAGAGAATTATTTAGGTAGGTCTTTTAGAGGCCAACAGGAACTCTCTTCAGGGAGAGAAAACCTTAAACAGCTCTACCAGCTGGAGCTGAAACGAGCTGGGAACACAGAGTATGGAAACCGAAGCAGAATCCCCGTGGCGGGTTTGACCTTGGCTTGCTGCCAGGTATATGATGAAAGGCGCAGGGATCAAGATAAGGACAGGGAGATCACTCAGCAATTACCATCACAAGCAAAACAGACTCAACCTGGGGAAATCAGTTTAATTTATTGCCAATTAACACCAGAGTAGGATAATTAGAAATAAGAACAAATCTAAAACCACCTTCCCCCCACCCCTCCCTTCTTCCTGGGCTCAACTTTACTCCTAAATTCTCTACCTCCTCCACCTTGAGCAGCGCAGGGGGACGGGGAATGGAGGTTTACGGTCAGTTCGTCATGGGCTGTCTCTGCTGCTGCTTCCTCCTCACACTCTCCCCCTGCTCCAGCATGGAGTCACTCCGACAGGAGGGTCCAGCGTGGGCCCCCCAGGGGGTCGCAAGTCCTGCCAGCAAACCTGATCCAGCGTGGGGGGCCTTTCTCCACAGGGCCACAGGTCCTGCCAGGAACCTGCTCCAGCATGGGCTCTCCACAGGGTTACAGCCTCCTGCAGGACTCATCCACTTGCTCTGCTCTGGTGGGGTCCTCCATGTAGCTGCAGGGTGGATATCTGCTCCACCATGGACTGCAGAGGGACAACCTGGTCTTCACCACAGGCTGCAGGGGCATCCCTCCTCTGGCGCCTGGAGCTCCTCCTCCCCCTCCTTCTGACCTTGGTGTCTGCAGAGTTGTTTCTCTCACATATTCTCACTCCTCTCTCGCAGCTGCTGTTGCACCGCAGTTTTTTTCCCCTTCTTAAATACATTATCACAGAGGTGCTACCAGCATCCCTGATCAGCTCAGCCTTGGCCCACAGCAGGTCTGTCTTGGAGCCATCTGGAACTGGCTCTGTTGGACATAGGGGAAGCTTCTGGCATCTTCTACAGAGGCCACTCCTGCAGTCCTCCCCGCTACCAAAACCTTGCCAGCTAAACCCTACACAATCCCACATTTGATAACTGGATCTCGGAGAAGGAATTTAGGCTCTGTGAGAGACACTCATCCAAAACTCAAAGAATGCTCAACAAAAGTGATGAAAAGGAGACAATGAAAGATATGAGGGTAATTCCCATTTTACCTGAAAGAGATTTTTTTTTTAATCTTTAGAAGTACGAGAGCATAACAATTATTTCAGGGTTGTTTTGGTCATGTCCCCCCCTGAAGAAAGTCTCCATCATTCCATTTAAAATGAGATTTTCTGCTGAGGAAGTTGGGCCTTTTTGTCCCTACTTGAATGACAGAGAGTCTGTGCCCAGCATGTGAATTTTCGATCCACCAAGAGAAACTGCCTGCCCCAACTCAAAGTAACATAGAAGTGGCTGGACACAGTCTCAGATCCAAACACAGCAGGCTGGTGAGCATCCGCAAACCTCAGCCTGGGCTGAAACAGTCTTCATCTTTGTACAGAGCACATCCATTTGGAGAAAGAGAAGGAGAAAAGTTCTTCCTCCCGTACCAAAATTCAGAAGCTTATTTGGTATGAGGTTTTGTTTTTCAAGATTTGGGCCTGGAGTCATGGGTAAGAAGAATCCAAATTAATCTAATACCCCAGAGACATGGAAGCCAGTCTTGAGAATCAGAACAGAAGACAGCAGACAAATACAAATGCACATTGGGATGGACTCTTGGAGTCTCACAAGGCAATAAAGAATTCAAACTAGTGTATTTAAACAATATACGGAGAGCGTGTTTGCTGCCTAGTGTGGCCTGCGGTCAACACTGTCCTGCGAGAAATCACATCACTCAGAAATAACACAAATTAAGTGTTTGTGATAATTTAAAAGAAACTTTAGAAAAGTTCTGAAATTAAAATAAATCTGGATCCAAACATCTTTTTACCATATTGTTTTAGTAAGAGTTCTATTGTTTCTTCCACAGGTGGCACCAGCACTAAATTTATATGGTCAGGAGTATCTATCAGGATAGTCAGTGCGTCTCATCCTAAGAACTGAAAACTTCAGTAGTTTTTTTTCGAAGCTATACTGAAGAATTCAGCTCAGCCAATGTAACTTGAAAATATTTTGGAAAGATTTCAGATTAGAAATTTAAAAGCAGTTAACAATCTGTGGTTTTTCCAACTTTAGCCAGCCAAGAAATACAAAATATTAATTGTAATGGAAAAAATTCAAATACGAAGACAACTCTAATGATGTGTTTCTAATTACTACACATGAACTTTGTTTTTCTCTGTGACCACCACAGTAAATTAACATCATTTATATTTCATGGATTAGAAAGAAACAATCCCCAAAGAAAATACTGAATGTTAACTCTACTATGCTGCACACATTATCTACCTTAAAAGGAAAATACCAATCAACTTTTATCAATGCACAGAAACGACAGTATGCTGAACAAACACTGTAGTAAAGATATGGTAAATTTACAGTTAAAAAATCCTCCCTAATGCCATCAATTATGTCTTCTTCAGCTCCATATACACCACGTGACCATTCTAACATTATACTGGAACTGTCCACTGGATAAATCCTTGTTTTGTTGTTGTACCTATGTTTGCTTTATAATCCTTTTTTAAAAAAAACTTTACCTGCATTCATTCGCAGATTGGTTTTATGAAACTATTTAAACAATAAATTCAAAGTGTTCAAACATCAAAAGCAACATTGTTTATAGGATTTAGATCAAAAATTATTTCTTAGTATGAAGGAAGGAAAAGCCTGTGCCACACTTGATCGATATTTTCTCTCATGTATAATATTGTTTTGTCACCTAATTGCTGAGATTCTTCTACACTGAAATATTACAAGTAAACCTGACAGTGCCTTCAGTGGAACTAGAGGTCACTCCACATCTCTTGTGGGCGAGATTATAAAAGATACACATGAACAACCCGTAGGATGGTTGAAGACTCTGGATAATTCTATATTCTAATAATTCTAAAAATTTTTAATTTTTCAAATATCACTACTGTTTTAAAAAACTTGAAAATGTATTCATTAAGATATTTCAACTGATTTGATAACTTCTTACATTTAGAACTATCACTTTCAGATCTTTGGCAGTTGACTGACCCAATTACCGGCAATTTTCAAAGAACTGGCATTCATCATCTATCTGCTATTTGCAACAGTTCAGCAAGACTCCTCTCATACAGAGTGTTTGGGTTATTTTTCCAATATATATAATTACTAAATTTTGCTCTGTGCAAGCACTTTCTCTGGTAGTTATTAGACTTACTTGGCTTCTTAACTAGAGTCAATGCTCATTGTAAGCCTTTCCATCTGCGTGACATACAACACTGATAAACGTACTTTACTAATAATTGTTCTATGTTTGCTCTCACTTTTATATGACTCTTCATTTTAAAAACCAGATTGCACAAGTGGCAGTTGTACACAACGTTGCGTATACAATGTTGACAGTTGTACAAAAGAGAAATTTGGTTTGTTTAAAATAAGTAATGATAGGAGAGAGATGATGAAAGCTTTATCATGCATATGATCTGGGATCTATTCCCAGGCCTGCTAAAAGTATCCCTTCCAAACTTCAAAAAGCATCTTGACTACTCTGTCTTCATTTCCCTTTCCGTGCCCACATTGCAGGGTCTTTACATGGATTTCCAATGCGCTCACATCCTCATATGACATGCAATGTTTAAAAGAAAAAGATATTGCAGCCATTGCATGTTAGGTCACTACTGTACTTCACCCCACAGAAGCAGCTGTATGGCTGCATATCCTAGGTGCACCCAGCTGAAAGCCCTAAGGGCTCTGCCCAAGTCCAAAGTTCACTTCCAGCAGATGAGATTTAGTTCTACAGACTTCAAAAGTAAGCACAAACACACAGGCTTTTCTAACTTAAACCCAGCTACAAGAGAGCTCTAACAGCTAAACACAACATTAGCAAGTTATTTATGCAGATCTTCATTGCTATTCAGATACTGAAGAACATCACTAAAACGTGAGAGCTAATTTTATAAGGTCATTAACCATAACAAATAAGTTCAATACAATAATTATCATGTTTTACAGATGGTGACATTGAATATCAACTCAGATAGCACACTATTTGAATGTCAGATATACATCTTACAATTTACAGAAATTGTTTTTCAGTTGTTATATTGAAGCGGAAGCATTTTTTTAAATCTAAAGCAAGATGATAACTTCTAAGAATGGCCAACATATTGGTGCTCTCCTTTAAATATAATATAACTTTAATTAAACTACCTTTAATTTACTAATTTAACTACCTTTTTTGAAGGATGAAATATGTATGTTTCTATTATATTGTATACTTTATGACCAATATGTTTCACAATAATTAATTCACATACTAATATCAGAAGCTCTAATTTTCTATTTCCCTTCAAGTCACTTGATAACTTACTGAGTTTAAGCATATGCTTAAAATAAAAAAAATCTGTGAGGTTATGTAATTTGTAATATTTCACAAACAAAAGCCACCTTAGATTTAAATATTTGGAATACAGCAATTTACATGATTGCCAGTACACTGCTATCCATATGAGAACATGAACATGATACCTAGCAGTATCAACAAGAACTTTAAGATATTTTGAACACTGGTTTCTAAAATGTCTTTTACTCTGTCTTGCCTAAATATCTGTATCTTACTGTATTTGACCTAACCAAACACTTTTACAAAGATGGATTCATAAAAATTACTAGTATGATCCCAAAGAGAAACATTTTATATGTGCCAGTAAAGGATTATTTAAAGGAAAAAAAAAAAAAGTCAGGAGGAACAGACTAAAAAAGAATAACTAGTTTAAAAATATGAGTGGAAGCCAAGAAAAGTTTCCAAATTAATTAAAAATGTAAACTTCTAAACACTGGAAGATCTCATAGATGCCAAAAATGTTCTCATTATTACTCTAAAACTCAGTGCTTTATCCAAAGAAAAATTTTAGTTCCCTTCATGTCTTCGATTTATTTTCTTATTATAACATTTTAAATTTTTGGAACAACACTCAGCAGTCCAGAAGTCCTGATCATAACAACATATTTTGTACAACTGCAAATTTACCACATTTTATCCTATCGCTATAAGTTGGACTTGGAGAGTATACAGATGAATTGTCAAGTATTTGAAGTTGGATGTACACAAGAACGCACAGAAAGTCACAACTCTAAGCAGTTCTATAAACATTTCAGTTCTGCTCAAACTGAGTTTCTACTTCCTTGTAACTATTTTACTCAAAGGGCAGCTAAAAATAGGGCACAGGTCACCCTCTTCACAAGAAGCCAAAATGGAAGAGATGAGGAGCAACAGGTACAAGTTCCATCAGGAGAGGTTTCATCTTGATATAAGCAACAATTTAATTGTTTTTTTTACAGTAAGAGTCATTATTCACTGGAACAACCTCCCCAGCAATGCGGACCTTTTCACAATGTGGCTGGACAGCGTGCTGGATAATCTCATCTAGGCTCCCTTTCCCACAAAAGCTTGTACCAGATGCTCATTCAGGGTCCCTTCCAACCTAGGCTGCTCTATGATTCTGTGATTCTGTTTTAATATCCTCAGTGAATACTACCTCATGGATTGATCATCTGATTGATTTGAACTATAAAGACAATACTTAATGTAATTTGATACCTTTTTATGAACTTTAGTTGTATTTGTTATTCAACAGCAGTTTGGCAAACTATGTCGTTCTTTATACAGATAAATCCATTTCTGCTCATAAGTTACTTAGTATGACTGAGCTAAATTATGTTTCTGAACCGAAGTACTGTACTCAAAAATTTCTTATAAGTATTCCCACAAACTACAATTACCTCTGAAATGTATCACAACTCTGAAAACAAATGAAAAAGACCTGACTGTGGGATACTGTATAAGCTATTTTTAGTATGTTGACATCTTGAGGTCAGTAAGTCTCTCTGAGTAGGCTGCAATATCCCCAAATGACAGTGTGGCTATGCTCCCCTTCCCTTCTCTTTTACTTTTTCAAGTAATAAGAAAAATATATGAGTGAGCACACAGCTTTCTCAAAAGTAACACTGCATCTTTGTTAACAAGCTTTTTACTTATATCTTCTTTATAAAAGAAGGTATAATTTAAAAAACAGTTTCCAGGAAAAGGTTGAATAAATATAATTTTAGAGAGATGGTAACATGTCTTCAGAATGATGCCATGTCCCTGACGTCTTGTTCAAAGACAGAATGAAAATTAAGAAACTCTTCCAATAAAAGTTCATAAAAATTACTTACCTCTACATGATAAGAAATGAAAGGTGACTTAAAGCTTTGAAGAAACTTTTTAATAGTCAGTTTAAGGGGGAGTTTTGGCATGGGAGAAGGCAACAGCTCCATTAGAGAACCAAAAATATCAAGATTATGAGAACTTCTGTTTGGCATTATTCCCAGAGCATAAAGCTACACAAATAAATTCCTTACCATAGGCTTTATCTCAACAAGGGGTACTCTTTTCTCTCACTAGGCTCTTTCCTTCAAATTTAGGTTTGACAAAATTCAAGTGACTTCTTACTTTCATAAATGGTTTAAATTACACCACCAGTTTAAAACAAACAAAAGACTTCAGTTAAATTTATTTATCTTCTATCCGTCATTATGATTAGCAAAATTAGATCATTCCTACTGCAAGTTATTAGGAAAAATACATATGACTTTCCCTCTCTTTTTTTCTTTCTTTCTTTCTTTTTTTTTTAGTTGGCAGCGTCTCTAATATGACTTTCAGTATTAAAAACTACAATTTTTATTTTTGTTGCTGTGAGTTAAGGTCAAATACAGGAAGGAGGAGAAGAGTTCATTGTAAGTGGCACAACAAAGGGAAACGGAAAATACTTGCAAATCCAAACGAATTTCAGATGGCAGGAGCAGAAGTAGCTCTTGAATACGCTTTTGACAATTTTTCATGGCATATCCTTTATAACTGTTTTATGTTTCAGCAATAAGTATGCAGAAAACAGAATAGTTTTCCCAGAAAATGCTGTCACAAAAGCAATGGAACAATTGCTGCATCTCCCTCTCCATCTTAGAACAAATACAAAATCCAGCAACAATTCTTTCCAAATAATATAGTTCAAGAATACAATAATGAAATAACTGCACATCAATGTACTGGTTTTGGCTGGGACAGACTTCGTAGTAGCCGGTATGGAGGTATGTTTCGAATTTGTGCTGAAAACAGCGTTGATAACATGGGGATGTTTTAGTTATTGCTGAAGAGCACTTACAGAGTGTTAAGGTGTCTTCTGCTTCTGACCCCACCCCAGCAGCGAGCAGGCTGCGGGTGCACCAAAAGTTAGGGGGGACACAGCTGGGACAGCTAACCCCAGGGATATCCCATACCATAGGATGTCACACTCAACAATAAAGGCTGGGGGAAGGGAGGAAAGGGGAGGGACATTTGGAGTTAGGGCATTTGTTTTCCCAAGTATCCGTTACATGCAACGAAGCCCTGCTTTCCTGGAAACGGCTGAACACCTGCCTGCCGAAAGGAAGCTGCAAATTAATTCCTTAGTTTGCTTTGCTTGCGTGCATGGCTTTTGCTTTACTTCTTAAACTGTGTCTTTATCTCAACCCATGAGTCTTCTCACTTTCAGCTTTCCAACTCTCTCCACATCCCGCTAAGGGGGAGTGAGTGGCTGGGCTGGGTTGCCTGCTGGGGTTAAACCACAACTGGTATTTCCATGAAAATTTAAACTTGGTTATGAGGCTAGATCTCATGGATGCCATTAAAATAAACCCAAACCCCAAGACTCAAGACTGTTAGAGATACCTGCCTCACCTATTTCCAATACAAAATTTTTTATATGAGTATCTGCAGAAGAAGATTTTTACATCAGTATTCCTTCAGAATACTGCTGCAAATCCATTTACCATTTACTTTGATCATTTCTAAGGGCTCTATTTAAAAAAAAAAAAAACCATATTGGACATAAGCAGCTTGTTTTCACTTGCTAGGTCCTTTACAGCTTATCCCCTCCATTCCTTTCTCCATCAGTTGTGGAATGTTAAAAGCCGATTCCTCCCTCAAATTGGTCTACAACTCAAACCTCTGTCAAATATTAGTTTTTCAAATAAGAACTACCATACCTTTTCTCACTCTTAGCCTATGCACAAGAGCGTCCCCCACAAACACTCAAACAAATCTTTTCAGTTTTTTTTCTTCAAATCTCTACAAAAACCTTGCTACAATCTCTACAGACACAAGTTAGAACACAATTCTTGCCTATCACAATGACTGATGAAGTCTCATTTTTTTCTTTTAGGCTTATAGGTTGATATATTTATGAGGTTTTTTTTCTCATCTTACATAGAATCACAGAATATCTCAAGTTGGAAGGGAACCTTACGGATCAGAGTCCAACTCATTGCTCCTTGTAGGACTACCTAAAACTAAACCATATGACTATGAGCAATGTCCAGATGCTCCTTGAACTCTGACAGGCTTGGTGCCTGTGGAGTCTGTTCCAGTGACCGACCACCCTCTCACTGAATAACCTTTTCCTAATGTCCAGTCTGTCAGATCCAGTACATCCCCCCTCCAGCAAAGGTGGCATGAGAAGTTTTTCCTAACCTGCCTCCATTCTGTCTTGGAATTCACAACTCACTGCCCCCTCCTGTTGTGTCCAACCATTTGTGTCAACACAGTAACACAAATGACAAAACCAATGAAAGTAAAAATTGCACTTCTGAATTCTTTTGCCTTTAACAAACATACAAAACATATCACAGAACTAGCTCTCTGATGATGAGTTTCACTTTGATCTCCGTGGGGTAAACCCTGCCGTTAGTATTTTTAGCTGTCAATAATCTATAACATACTGCTAAAAAAGCAGCACAACATCAGAAGTTAATTTTCATAACAGTTAAAAATGGAAATTAAAGAGTAAGCTTTTTGGAGTTTACCACTCTACCTTCTTCCAGGATGGGTCTCGGCACAACGAATGGGATTTCCTGCAATGGTTCCATGTGTTTGTGTCCAGCACTCATAATCCTTATCTGGGGCAAGCAGACGACAAGTGTGCCAGGCATACTCGCCTGCCCATGGTACCAGCTGCGCACAGTCCCAGGAATGTCGCCTGACACAATAGTACTTGGGGAAGGCAGGCTATCATTCGGAAGGAATACACAACAGGACTGCACTTCAAGCTGCAAAAACAAAGCCAAGAAAGATTTCTCAGAAACAGATCAAACATTTTTTCCCTCAATGTGGAATATTCGTCTTGGTACAAAAATCTTGGTACTCATCCATCATAGCTGACTGAAAATAGTCTTAGCTTCTAAATGAATTAAGAGGAAAGATGATACAAAATGTTGGAAAATAATATGTTCTTGTAAATTATGACTATGGGAGGAGACAGAAGAGTAAGTGTGATTTTGATCTGCAAATTTGACCAGAAAGGTGTTGCCATATAAAGGGAACGGACATCTAACTACATTTCAACAGCTTTTTACAAGAAGCATAACTGAGTCAGAAAATCTTCTCACAGTAAAGCTGAGAAAACCCTCTTTTTGCAGTTCATTAGCTTTTGTTTGCAACAGCTAAGCCTCTAGAACTAACCAACATTTTATATGATGTTACCTTCTATAAAGAATTCTGTAAAGACCTATTACAGGGAAAATTCTGTCTTTATTTTGTAATCAACAGTAATGAACATGTACAAAAATGCTGATCATCAGTGAAAAGCTGACTTTAAAACAAGTGGATAGGTGCATACGTGCACAAAGAGAAACGAATAAAGTTCATAAAGTTTATACAACTTTTGTCCTGTTATCATTGCACACCAGAAGTAGTGCATATGGTTTCAGATGAAACAGCATTTTTTTTGTTCTTAATTTTCAAGCAATGCTGCTACCCTGAAATATTTGTGAGCTTTCTGCCATCCTCTCATGAGCTTCTAGCAAGGCTGAGTGAGCCCAAATCAAGAACTGAACTCTTGCAAACACGGAGGTGGTGTAAGCTGCAAACTGTTAGTCTTCCTTGGCTCTCACAAGTAATACTCTGCACCTGGATATCAAAGAGCCCTAAGAGCCTGCACACTTGAACGCTTTGTTAAGTGAGTAGAAACTAGGATTCAGGTAATTTCTTCACAACAGTTTGGAAAAGTCCAGCGTACAAAATGTTGGCCACAAGGTGTTATTTGTAGCTGTGCTAAAAGAACGTTTGTTTGCTGTAAACTTACGTAACAGAGTCTTTCAACTTGATATCCTTAGAGACATTACAGCTTAAAACTGATAACCCAGGTTTGCACTCCATACCCTCCCCTGAAGTCCCTCAAGACTGCAACAGTGATTTGCAGTAAAGCTGGAATTCCTCAGCACCATAAGTACTTTGCCAGCCTAGTAAGGAGAACACAGATATTCATCTTTATTTCAGCATTTTTGTGCCCTTTTGCTTAGACAAACTGACAAGAATTCACTGCAGGAAAACATAAGTAGAATTTTGCAAAAATAAATACATTGTTACATGAAGTCTGTGTTTGTTTCTAGTTTTAGAACTGTTTGAGTTGTAAAATGAAGTTAATTACATCTTTGATAAGTAGTTTATTGATTCAAGGTTGCAGAGTGTACTTTATTTATACTGGATGAAAAGCAACAGTGTATTGTTACAGATGTAATAGATTTGGACTTTTTTTTTTTTAAACTGGTAAATTAGTCATTGTGTCAATTTGCAAAGATTTTTACAGTGACACATTAGATCGTTTTCTGGTCTATTAGTAGTAGGTTGCAGGTCAAGCCATTGTGGGATAATGATAAATAGATGACAAAAGAACTTATGATCAGTATAACTTTTGTTTTATTAGTGCATTTGCTGAGTAAACAGTTCATAACAAATCATCCATTCTTCATATATATATATATCCACGATGATTAACGTCAAATGCTGCCTGAATATACAAACCATGTGGTAATAATAATCCAAAAATTCCACCAACTTGGAGAGATACTATATTTCATCACATTACCAGCAGCAGGATCTACAGGAGATGTTTCACAAAGTGCGCTTGAGGAAAGATCTCAATACTCAGTAGAGTTTTTACACGTAATTTACAGTTCAGTACAGCTCTGTACTGAAGACAAGTTCTTCAGATCATTTTTGTTTTATTTTATTTTGCCGTATCAAGAATGTTGAAGTGGAATCACAACAGTTTCACTCCTTCAAATGCCGGAGGGAAATTCCTGTTTACATAGGCATTACTTCGCCATTCATTTTCAAACACCTGAATGGGAGTTGGACCATGAATTTTGGGGGTGTTTACATGATAGCATCAGACCTTCCATATTTAATAATACTGCAGATTTGCTTACAGATATGGTTTGCTTACTTGTGTTTCATTTAAAGTTTTACATGAATAAATGAATTTTGCAAAACATTACTGCAGGATTTCAAAGGCCAACATGATGAACACTTGGCAAAATTCCACATTTTAGGGCAAATCATGCAATCATTATAATTACATAAAAAATTGCCAACTTGGATGCACATGGGCCCAATAAAGGCAAAACTGAATGGCACCTGTCGAACTTCTCAGAGGCAGATTCTGCTTACATACAGCTATCAACTTCAACAGAATCTGTGTACGTTTATCTGACAGAATCTGGTGATTTGCCCAATAGCAAGTTCCAGTGAAGGAATGGAAGGGTGTGCCTAAAATTATGGCATTATATGTTGGACAAAAGTGAGAATGTGTGCTGCAGATTGCTTCACCAATCGGAAAGTGCTTTAAAATATATGTAATCCAAATATCTTAAAATTAAACTACATCAATAGCATATATTAAAGCTATCATATAAATCTTTTTACACTTTTTAAGTAACTGTTAAACTGTGTGTCTAAAATTGTGAATTTAATGTAAAATGTGACTGATTTATGTAACTGAATATAAATCTGCAGCAGTAAATCTTGCATTAATGTAAGGATCTGACAATCCAAGGGAAAGAAAATGAAGTAATCTGCCAGTAAGAAGTCCTTAAGCTGGGGGTCAGATCCTGTTCATGGAAACCATCTGGTTGGGACCCTCCAAGCCACACCAAACACAAATGATCTTTTAAAAAAATATCCTATTCATTAATGCTTCGCAGCTGCACTGAGTGTTACTTCATTTTTCCATGGCAACATCCTTTCTGTTTCAAGGATCTTATTTCAGTTTTGGTAGCAACGTGTTCTTTTGCCAATACTGAACACATTCATGTGTTAAAGAGAAGGAATTATTACAAATTCTTGAAACAGAATCACCCCTTATTTTCATTTCTATTATGTCAAGGCCTACACATGCTAAGTGAAGTACACTAACGATAAACCAATGAAGTAATCAGTATTTTCCCTTCCACTCTTAAAGTTACACAGAGCATATTGCTCTAAGCTTTTCCTAATGTATAAGCCTAAAACAGTGCAATGATTTTAAGAACTCTGTTGTCTAAAAAGGAAAGTATTAAGTTACTGGAATAAATGAACTATTTTTCATCAATATTTTATAAAAAGAGAGTATTGCTCGATAGAGAGAACAGTGAAATACATCCTGCGGAAGAATCAGGTCTTCCTAACTAAGAAGGGTGGGTGGAAGGGATTGAACGAAACAAGTGACATGCCATAGTTACCCCATACGAGCTCAATGAAAAAGGACAGATTGTAAAAGAGTGTTTACAGCCTTTCATGACAGTGATACCATAAGGAGATTCCCTTCTCTAACTCACGTTTCATAGCTACCTCAGTCTCTGACATCCACATTAGCTCTACTCAGTCAGATCTGCAGTTGAGCCAGACATGCACTGTTTGTTAGAATTTAAAAAGGCAGGCCAGAAATTCGTGTTTTGAAATTAGACAAAAAAATAAAAATTATATGTATGGAAAGTAGAGCACAGGAGTAAGAGAACTAAGGGAGCAGGCTACCTGTACGTACAAATGAGTAGAACAGGAACAGCTGCATTTTCTTTGACCACTTAAAAATGTCTTACCATTACACAGTATTCCTATTCTTGTCTAAGAAAGCCTGATTTTAAAAAAGTTTTGTTTAGTTATGGAAAATTTCATTTTTTGTCATTTGTGGTAAGTAACCAATTTCAGAAATCATCCTATCTCATAACTGCTGATAGCTTTAACTGCTAAGCTAGAAGTCACAGAATCTCCTCCTGACCCATGAATAAAGACCACTGTTCAAAGAACAGGAACTCTAGTCAATTCTCATCCTTACATTTCTGTTCTTTCAATGAATGTTTCACTTCGACTAAAATTCTGCATGAGTTACATGCTTTAAAGAAAATGTTATTTTCAATAATTTCAGGCAACAGACTAATTTTTTCAAATAATTTCAGAGATATTTAAAAGCATGTGGAATATCTGGCTAAGTTTTATATGTAATAAATACACTCCTATTTAGTTGGCATTCATCGCAACATTACTTATTAATTAATTTGCTTTTAATACAGATCCTTCATTATTCTCACTGGAATCCAGCATTAATGACCAATTAAAAATAATTGTGTTTATACTGCTCCACAATTTTAGGAACTATTAGCATGAAGAACACGTGAAGAGTGAGCATTACCCTCCTACAGTTACGGTGTAACTGCCAAAAAGACTTCAAGGCTGCACATAAAGAAATCCTACAACAACTAAATAATAAAAACAACTTTTTATAGTTAAGTATGAAAGTCTTTTCACTTAAATACTAATAGCTTACTGCAACTCCAATGCACAAAATCCTCATGCAATATTCTATCATGAGCAAACCAGGGCTACGGCTAAGCAACTACCAGCTTCGGATCCAAAATAAACTTTCCAGTTACTTGGTTCCAAACACATTTACTTACTCAAACTTCCACTAAAAGAACAGTCCTTTGATGATTTTAAGTTATGAAGTTCTGTTTTATCTGATGACAACTACAGACTTTTCTGTTCTACAATCATGTTAATAGAAGATCCAGGAACATGAAAATAGTTTAAAAAAAAAAACAACAAACTTAGAATCTAAGTGCTCTAGCATTTAACCAGGCAAAATATTCTAGAAATTTGCCTTTTTCATGCCAAATGATAATAAAATACAGAAAATCTGTATGAATTTAACATATAAATATATTTATGTATTTAATAAAATAAATACATCATACTGTACTTGAATTGAAAAACAGAGTCATAACCCCTATCTTATTAACCTCTATACACTGCCTTGCACAAATTTCAGTGTTCCCGTTTAGGCTGGTATTGAAGGAAAAAAGCTATATATATATGCATTTGTGTCTTGAAAAAACATATTTAAATAAAACAGACATAGGGACTACTAGCAACAATAGAAAGAACTGCTAGCATATCTGTAAGTCCTTCATATTTCACCAAGAAGGACTAATGCATATTTGTTTGGAAGCACATTCTTGGACTTTTCCTGTGGTGTTTCCCTGGAGTTTGGTGAAATTGTTCACTGGTAACATGTAGTGTCCTTTTGGCAAGATATTGGCATATACTTCACCAAGTACGATCAAAGCATATTAGAAGTGTGTAAACTGTTGCATGAATTCATAGGACTGTTTAATTTCAATGTAGATAAAAACTAAAAATATAATTTCATATCCACAGTGATGAAAATGGAAAGCATGAGTATCTTACCAAAAAGCCCTGTAAAAAGTAAGTCTAGAACCAGAAACACCAGAAAGAGTATCTAATACAAAAACATCCTCTGCCAGCATTAGCTCTAATCCATGAGTGTATCAGGTTAGAGCAGTGATATATCTACAAATTACTCTCTGAGAAAACATATGCCCGATACTATCATCAGCTTTCACCTCCACAAAAAACCCACTAGTTTGAACACTACCCCCTTTTTTTTCTTCCTAGTTGGTAACAGGCAAACTTTATTTTTACCTGGTCAGTATCTCAACCATTCTTTGCAATAAATTCACTTTGCTGGTTGCTCATGTAACAAAGTTTACCGTGAAAAATGTATGAGCAGAATATCTCAGTCTTGATTCATTTTTCATATTTATAAAGGATCCAGCTCTTCACCATCCTTGTTATTATATTATCATTTTTATTATGACTCAAACTGTAAGCTTCATTTATATAGGGAGTCTCATTGTGCTATGTACCGTGCAGACACATAACAAAAAAACCTCACTGCTTCCTTGAAACAGTTTACAGATTATCTCTCTTGACTCCCTCTTATCTAGCCTTTTCAATCTCCAGTGGTGACAACATTAAAAAAGGATTACAAGCAAAATACTCATGAAACAATGATGAAAGACCTGGCTGAAAACTAAATAGAGTTAACAGAAAGCACCTCCTCAACTTGAGCGTGTTCTGCAATCAAGTCACAAGTCTGAAGTTCTTGCTCAGGCAAAACTTAAACTTTCAAACTTTCTAATATTTTGAACCCAAAGTACCTTCTGCATGAATGAGAAGTAAAACAGACACAGGTTCTGTGATAAGCCTGTATATGAATAAATATATTTCCTGGTAGGAAGAAGGAACAGGCATTCAAAGATTACTTTGTCAGAAATAGGGTTTTTTTGTATTTTTTTAATTTTAACACAAAACCAGTTTTGCTACTAGATGCTGCTGTACCATAAAACACCAAACTCATGGAATGTCCTGTTCAAAAGGCACAGATTATAATAATTCTAAGTGTAAGGGTAATTTCTAAGCAGGCACTTGATATATACTTGGAAGAGCAGAGTCCTAATTCTAGCATTTCTAAGCCATCTAGTATTTGATCATGCAGTCTTAACGCTGGACTTCTACCATGGCCTTTTTTGTGTACAGCATGCATATACCCTGCTACACGAAAATGCTGCTTTTACCTATCAGTGATCACAATCTAGAGCAGTCTAGGATGAAATGGTTTAATGCAAGTGGTCATCTACTTGTCCTTTATGAAAAGGTGGACAAGCAAGCAGCTGAGCCACTGCTGTATGACATCAATTTGTACCATACACCCCAAGAAAGTATTTACTATACACAGTTTCCTTAAATATTTTTAGCAAGGAAGGTATTCTGCAAATCTAACTACAGATAAAAAGGTGTATAGCTATGTTTATAATACAGGAAACTGCGACAAACATTTTTTCTTCAGGTAATTTTTTTAAGGATCTTCTCCACAGATATAAAAAAGTATTTTGAAAACTAATATCCTAAAACCAAAGCATTCTTTGCTTAATTTCCCAAAAATCTATATTTTATTTTTCGTTTTCTAAGACTTTGAAACTACTGAAATAAGACAATAAAACTTCGGAGCTCCTTTAAAAACCCTCTAATAAAAAGCACTAGGATTCATAAAAAGTATCATAAAGTTTGGAAAGACATAGGGTTTTTTCACTTCCTTTTCATCTTACCTGAAGTGTCAGGCGCTTAACTGCATTCCACACTATTCCAATAAATTCCTTCATTCTTTCTTCAGGACTTCTGCAGCTTTCAGATGTGTTCAGCACGGTTTTCACAGGAAGTGACAAAGGACGAGATTCTAATGCAAACAACAAAACTCAGTTACACAAAGAATATACAACTCATATACTTTGTGGTAGCAAAGAAAAAGATTACTTATTATAAACTCCAAAAGAGATTTTCTGCTGCTATGGCTGTAATAACAGTGAGTCTATTGTTAGTTTTAAACTTAGCAATACAACTGTATCAGTTAAGCCCGGTGAGAAATGCAATGAAATGAAATGCTTAAAACTTCTTTAATGTAAACTGCTAAGAAAATATTATGAAGAATGCTTGACCTACGCAAATTAAGACAATTTTCAAAGTGTTATAAGCTATGTGGTGACGGAATAGCAATCCAAGAGGTTTTCACACACACTGCTGCCAGTGTAATCTAAAAATGTTTTAGTTTTCTAAACTCGTCGTAAGAAATGAAAGACAGCCTATATTAAATCACAGCTTTTGATTTGTTTTCTTTATAAAATTCACTTAAACTTGAGCATGCTTCCAAAAAAGGCATAAAAATGAGACCATTTTCTTACTTTGTCAAGCTTAAAGGTATTAAAGCACGAAATATTTCAGCAAAATTCAATGTTTTCTAGTAAAAAATTTCTTTAAACTGTTAGCTATAACATAAATATGAAAAGATTTTAGATACAGAAGTATTTAATTGAATATGAGCACAGAACTTCAAAAGAGTACTAGTGAGCAGAGCAAGTAGCAACTACAAATTCTTTAAAGACTGTATGAGTGGTATATAGCTCCTCCTGTCATCTCTTACAGACTATCCTCCTTCTTATGTTTTGGGATACCCACCAAATTATTGTCAGCTTCTTTAACATTTCCAGTTTTGGTCTACATGTTGTTGAGCTGACAAAACTGCAGGAATAAATTACGAGGTCTTCATGACTTCATTTTAAACTAAATTGAAATCAGCATAAGTGTGACAATTTGTCTTTCAATTATAAAGCTAGGAAAAATCTGTGGCATACAAACTACAGAAAAATTCTTAAACCAGTATTATGCTATTAGCTGAACTCAGGTGAGCAAACGTATATGCCCCTTGACAAGCATCGCTGGGTCTTCAGTCAGTTTTGATCATCCACGGAAACATGCAAGGAATTAAAAATGAAACATCTGAGAAGTGAATTTCTGCCAAGAGCGTGCAATGTTAATACCCCTTGAGGAATTAATTTGTGACATTCTTCCCATCAAGGCTAGAAAAAAACCCAGAGTTGATTACTATTCTAGACAAAATCCTTTAACAAACAGTATTTTTAATGATCTAAAAAGAAGGAGAAGCATTAATTTTATTAAACTGATAGGGAATCAAAAGATTCCAAAAGAGAGGTAGTCAAAATAGTGAAAACATATTTTTATGGCTGTAGTATAATTAGCCCTCTCAGATATTCCTGGCTCCAATTGCGAATCTATTAGAATGATAAAGAATGAAAACTGGATCACGAGAATGTAAAAAGCGTGATATCTCAGGATTGTTTGTTGTCAGCTGTGCTGGAGAGACAAACAAATTGTTCATATGGAGAAGCAGCGTGGAGTAGCTATTCCGTAATATTTTCTCATGCAGACACTGTCATGACATGCAGTGAGTATTCCATCCAAATTATGAATGGATTCAGTTAAAACAAGGACATTAAGTGAGGAATAGCTGTTCTGCTTTAACTTCTTGCGCTACCTCAGTTCACACCATCTTCCCTGTGTAGTCAGGCCCTACACTATACATACTACAAGGTAAGAATCAGGAACAGCTTAAGCATCAAGAAATATTAAAATAAGAGAGTTACTGGAGCGCAGAACTCCAGAATACAAGTGTGGGTTAAGGGTTATAATACAAAGGGTTAGTATACAAAGTTACTGCGAGACTCTGGAAATCTCCCAGGCAAGAATGCTTCAGGTCAGGATGAGCAGATAAATACAATGTAAAACTGTATATTCTACAGCATAATCAGCAGGGAATATCAACATCCTCCCTCACTGAACAAGTGCATTGCTCATGAGTAGGATCTAAAGCTGGGCTTTGTTCCATTCACCCATGTTATGGTCACTGGGAAACACACCCTCTGCTAGTTCTCTCTCAATCAGGGCAATCATCTTTCTAATGCCAGAAATAACTACCTGTGAACTAAAAATAAAATTAGCTGGCCAAAACACCATTTGTTTCTCTCCATATATGTGCAATTCAAACTTGCAAAGCCGATTCAAATTCCAGGAATATCCATAACAGACAACATCTTCCCTGTAATACCCCATACTCAACCAAAATCCAAAAAAAAGAAAGCCTTGAAACCCAACAAACACATAAGAAACCGTTCAACCAGAAATCATGGGAAATAGAGAAGTAATAAGAAATGTTTCGGAGTGGAAGGAAGAAACAAGCACAGAAGTAAAGAAAAGAAAAGAAGAAAGATGTCCTCTGTTCATTTTTTTTCCTGTACTGCTAAGTCCCAGGGTCTTCTCTGAAGGGATGCTGGGACAGAACATGTCTTAATTCCCCGTGAGGCAAGGCCATCAGTAGATGACAGTTGCTAAGAGACTGTAGTAGTCTGGTGTGGCTATCGTGTGTGTTGCCTAGTCCTCTACAGTAGACATGTAGACTGGATCAGCTCCATCTGTCTCGGTATGAAGGTTAATCTCCTAAAATAATTATGCTACTCAGCTACTACTGAACTGAAAACCTAGGAACATTTCCTGGCACTGTCATCAGCCTTCTGTTCAAGCCAAGAGCCAGTCAGCAATAGCTAGACAGAAAATAGGATTTGTATGAAACACTAGCAAACTGATGAAGGAAAAAGAAAAAAAAAAAAACAAAAACAAAAACCAGAGGGTGGGCTGCTTCAGGTTGTACAAGTTGAATTTTTAAGAAAACCAGTGTAGAGGAACATAAAGTGTTCCTACTCTCATCTTGTAGTCCCACATTGTGCAATTGGCATTTTTGTACAAATACACATCACAACTATTTCAGTCAACTATCAACCACTCAGAGGCTGCCACACTCACCATCAACTTCAGAACACACACTGGTAATGAACAGACTTTTTAAAAAGGACTGAGCTACCAGAAGCAGCAATTCTTTTCACAATTTATGGTTAAAGTATAGAGGGAGCTCCAAATGGCAATCCTGCAAAATTAATCATAAACATACTCTCTTTGTAGGAGATGCCACTAAGCAAGACTTACAGGTATAAACTCTAGACAGAGGTGTCTTTCTTACATAGACATATGCCTCCTCCTTTGTGTTCTTTAGCCTACTGGGAACTGGCTGCTTTAGAAGTCTGATCCATAAAATAGTTTAAAAGTCTTAAAAATAAAAAGACCTTTAGGGAAAATAGTGCTATTCTGTGCTATCAATATTCAGTGACCTAAGAAACAGGAAAGGGAAAATAAAACTTATGAAGTGCAAAGATTCGGGGCAAATGGACATTTCTTCAAATAAGTCAAAGCAGAAAAGACCACAGATCAGAGATGTGCCACTACTGGGTTGAGGACTACTGATAATCTGTACTCACCACTGGCCTCAGGCTTTCAGTTCCCCCCCTCTCCTTACAGCTAGCAATTGAACTAAAGAGAGGTAAATCACAATGCTAACGCCTTATTCCTAATTTGTATGTGGTAGAGATCGGTCACGTCTCATCCCTCTGGCACAGGACGACTAATTTGTCCTGGCCCACTCTGTGCCTCGGACACCTCATGCGTTAAGAGGGCAACACCTTCTTCCTGGTTGGAAAAGGTTATCCTGCTGCAGGCAAACCCGTACTTTCAGTGCTCCCCAAAAGCTCAGAGAACGCCTACTGAAAGACAAGGTTCATAGACAAACATCCATGCAGCAGCCTGCAGTAGGACAGCATCTCCACCATCCCATCATATGACCGTACTCAGAATGCATCTGTCATACGACCTCAACAAGCTGGGCAAGCTTCCCTTCCCACATCACATCATCTGTCATATAGCTTCTCACACATCAGAGTTGAGTTAAGCTGAGAAAAATCCTACTGCAAACTAATCATGGTTACTAAGAGGCCATGACAGCAAAACACATGAACATTAATAGTATTTAAAAGCAGAAGGAAATCACAGGAAAGCATACTGTTATTGCACGGCTCTTTCTGGAAAGATCTTTCCTCTGCTAAAATTAGAGGTAGTCTTCATAGCATCAAAGAATTAATTGGGATTTCTTAATATCTTTTCACATTTTCATCAATTAGATAGAGCTTTTTATCAGAAATAAAACAAAAAACACTAAGGTGGTTGCAACAAATGCAAGCCATTAAGCAACTGATCAAGGGGTCTCAGGGATTAGAAATAAGATTAAAATGCAGTGGAGGAGAAAATTCAAACTTCAAACAACTCCGAAAAAAAAATCTAAATGGCCTACAAGGTTTTTTTTGCAGATTAATTGGTTTCTTCATATGTAAGACAAAACAAAAACCACCCCCACCCTCAAAAAAAACCCCACCACCTACTTAAAATTTACTTGCTCTTTTCTGTAAAGTAGCAGGTTTTGGTTTCTATGTATAAGATTGTGCAAAAGTAAAAATTCAGTGAAACTTGGTATATCAAAGCTTGTTTGTCCTTAGGTTTAGGCATTCCAATTTTCCTCATAAGGCTACATATTTTTACATTTGCAACACAACAGAACTAGACTTATCTGTTTATATAGAGGGATATATGAAGGCACTACAAATGATTCATACTTTTGTGTATATATACACATATATGATGGCCAAAGAAACAAATTCTGTTCTCAGTAGAATGCCTTTCCATATAATAATTTAGTTCCAGGATTTAATACTGAAACATTATATATATACAAGAAATTGCAAAAGCACAGAGGAATATCTTGTTAAAAATACTTCCTATGTTAATGTACTATTTTTTTATTTTTAAATTGGATTGTGGGAAAAGTTAATCGAAGTAGCAGGCTCACTGAAACCACTAGGTGAAGCTCAAAGCTGTATTTACCAATATTTTCTGAACCATCAGTATCCATCAGAATTGTCTGAGAAATATTCACATTTTATTTTC